TTTGGCATCATGGATAAAGTATGAGAATAATACGAGGATTTATTATTTAAGAGAAGGATTATATATTATTCGAATATTTGTTGTGAACATCTAGCGATGGGGTTCTGTTGAATCTCCTCGTAGCAACACGCGTCCTTTACAGCTACAGAATGTAGAACACTTCTTCACACTTAATATATTGATAAAGGTGTCTTTATTTCAACTAAATCGGCCGCTCAAAGCATTTAAAACGTCGAGTCTTAAAAATAAAAACTGAATACAATGCACAACTGATTAAAACGTTAGTAACCGTTAGAACCCGGCCAGTTTTGTCAAATACCAACTTCGACGGAACAAATGCCGTAGCAATTTTTACTATGACGTCAGAGACATACTCAATCTTCAGTCATCTCGTGACCACGGCTGCTGCAAAGCATCCGAACCGTCGGGCCGAAGTTAAAAATAATTTTCTTATTAGAAAACCGCTATTTGAATTAAACCAAACTTATTAGTTTAACTAATATATATCGCGATTTAGACCGTTAAAGTGTGTACAACTCGCGATAACTACAGACAATATTTAATTGTAACTAAGTTTAAATATTACACATTGCATTTTAAACCGTTATAAGTACTTTACATGACTCGTGTAAAGAACAAACAATTTAGTTTTTAATATATGTTTTTTTAACAAGGTAAAGTGTTACACGTTTTAAATGCAAAAAGTGACACAAAGATTATTGCCAGCTTTTCGCTCTACCTGCATTTGAAAAGCGAAGTATATATTTAGAGCTATTTATTTTTCCATTAATGTTAGAATAATGCAATAGTTTTCATATTAGACTAGGTTTATTTCCTCATTTGATGGAGTTGCAAAGTTGTTTTGGTTCCGTTCGGTTAGTGTACAAATTTGTCTATTAGCGCGGTTCGACACTCGAGTGTCGTTCCAACAATATTAATCCACCAAACCCACAAAACCCGACACCTGAGCCTGCCTACGTGTCAAACGAAACCCAATTACAAGTCCATGTGTTTCCGTTTCGCAAACTTAATGCAACTTGCTCGCTTTTTGATTACAAGTGTTGAAAGATAAGTGAGTGAGTGAAAATAAACTAAAAGTACTATTTAGTTTAGTTTAGTTTCTTTTTTCATTTTAATTTAAATTTCAACAACAGTTAACAGACGATAGCAACATAAACGAGGACTCACAGGCATATAACATCTAATCAAAATGTGTTGTTGACCTATTTTTTGGCTTTGGATTTTCGGAAATCCACACTGGAACTGTATCGATATTAAACTTAGCAGATATTTCATTTGTAGACGATGACTGGCGAGCTTGACGGAATTTTGATATTCTTACCACTCAGTTAATATCCAGATTTTCAAACAATATTCAACATAATTCAGAAAAATTCTTTTTTTGCTTCTGAATTGATGTCTATCTACCATTGCTTAACTAAATTGATTTACACACTGCGATTCATTAAAAATGTAAAAGTTATTTTCTTAGAAGAAGTCTTATTCGACAAGAAGTAGACCCGATTTGCGAAACGAAAAGTAGGTCGGATTTCCATAATATTTTGCGAAAATAAGCCAACTTTATATTTGCTAAGTTCGTCGAGAATACTTAGAAAGGACTTAAGACTCAGAAGCCGTGTGTTCGCTTGCCAAAAAAATTCTTAAAGTTACATTTGAAACATTCCGTTTCAAATATGATTTTTCAAGGCTGAGAAACTTTTCAAATGCTTCAGAACCACTAGACGTTTTGAAGTGAAAAACGAAAGTTGGTGGCTACCCAAACCCATGTAATATTAACCACATTCACAATTCGCTTAGAATGTATAATCACCTAATTAAAAAAAATCTAAAACGTTCAGTACGTACTTATGTTAATTGGTAGATGTCGTTACATTTCGGCAATGAAAAGTCAAAAATTGACGAAACAGAAAAATTAAGCACTTATATTTTATGAAAAAAAAAGGGTGAGGACGTATTTTCACATCTTTTTAAATATACTGTCTGTAGTTTACGCGAGTAGTACACATTTATATAAAACACTTAAGAGGTCTCACCGTGACCACGGCTGCCGCAAAGCATCGCACTGCAAACGTCGGACCCCAGTTAAAATCTAATTTCCAAACAGATTTAACTAAAATATATCGCGTTTTAAACCGTTAAAGTGTTTTCTTTTAATCGTTTAAATTATCGATTTGAAATACCACAGAAGAAATTGATAATAATATTAAGATTTGATAGTTGATAATAGATTAATTATTGATCTGTAACCGTCTCCGTTTAAACGAGAATTTAAACGGAAACGGAAGTGACACATCAGCGCGAGTTAACTTATTCAGAATGGCGGTTATGTCATGAGTCTAGTGCGATCTCAATTAAAGTCACCTGTGATGAATGGGCGCAATAAACCCGGCTAATTGGCTCGTGACTGATGTCAATCTATTACATTTTAACACTATGAACTCTTAGGGCTAATTACTATAGGGTATTTAAATGGAAGTCACATTTGTGCAATGCTGTACTAGTGTAAGAGGCAATTATTTTACTTATACCCCAACTATATAACATCTAAACAAGATGCGGTGACGAAATTTTTTGGCTTTGGTTATTGGGAAATCCATGGACTGAAATGCGATACCCGGTATGGATCGAACCCGCGACTATTGGTCATACATTGCTAAAAAAGAAGGATGATAAATGAAGCTACGTTAGTAGTTAGTAGTCTGTGGCGAAAAAGATTCCTTTTCGGTGGGTATTTTATCTGTGGGTAAAAAATTATTGACATTTCCTTGTTCACAATGCTTAAACTTATCAACATATTAAGGTAACAATTCAATAAAATGTTTCTAATTCTTTAAATTGTGTTTCCAGGTGTGGTGTTAATTTTGACGATTTATAAATATATAAAGAACACAATTCCATATTAAAAACAAAAAATATCTATTTTTTTTAATATAAGAGTAATTATTTTTAATTGCGTCATTAAACACATTTTGGGCTTTTAAATAAAACTCTTTAACGGTTTAAAACGCGATATGTTAGTTTAACTTATTTGAAAATGATTTTTGTTGTTGCCCCGTGACCACGGCTGCTGCAAAGCATCCGAAACGTCGGGCCGAAGTTAAAAATCATTTTCAAATAAGTTTAAGTAATATATCGCGTTTAAAACCGTTAAAGTGTTTTATTTAAATGTGTACTACTATATTTTATAGACAGTATTTACGTTTTAGGCTTCTATATTAATTTGAACCTACTCAAAATATTGTTTGAAATCACGTACACGATACTCATACATAAATCCGCCATTTCCTATTTAGTTTTCTCTTAAATTAAATTTTCCTACATACCCCACACATATTGTTACCCCTGCAAGGTCAAAGATATTGAGCAATATTCGCATGTAATAATAAAACCGACAGTTTACTGCTCTCGTGTAGAAAAAAATAATTTATTCTTATATTAGGCGAACTTTTCTTGTCAGACCATCTGTTGCTTTGGGCGTGTTTGGTCCAAGTGGTAATTTTTTCTCCCTTTGGTCAAACTGTATTCATTTATTTGCTTCATTCCAAACTTAATGTACTTGTAACTTGATATCTCAATGTGTGTTACTGATTTAACTTTGACATTTGGGACTCCCTCCTTCTAAAGTTCTCCCGTAGCCTTAGTAAACAAAGTGTAAATCAGTTATCTAATACATATCGTCTTTTCTACTTACCTAAACCTATCTTAATATATGTGTTGTAATAAATCGTTTTATCTAATTAAGTTTAAGACTTGTTTAAGATATACATTTTTATTGTCATACAACAACTTGGTACAGATAAAATGCTGTTCTGCTGCTTCTGCTGCTAAACTACAAACCTTTGTGACTTGATCCTTACTCCTTTCATCTAGATCAATCAATTTCAATAACTTCGTAATGATCTTTGACTCTCAAATCGCTATCTCTCCTCATTGGACCATTCCAATCATAGCTGAACTTGATCTCGGCCAACATAGCAATTTACGACTCCATAAAGTCAGATTTTACGCGCTAGCAGTCAAAGGGTTAACTTTCGACGCCTAATATATAAGCTTATATATTTCATGAATTAACTCATATTTTTAATTTAAGGTTGTATCACTAGTGTAGTAAGGTATCTTGTGTAGGACAGACACACACAACAGAAATATGCTGACACATTGAAGCTAGAGATTTCCTTTTTTGACTAAACAGCAAGTATATGGGAAGAGTACTAAATGTTTCTTTGTTTATTTGACATCATAACTTGACGTTTTAGTTTCACAACAAACAGTACAGTAGTAGTTGGGCTTTTAATACCATGCGTGGTGACAGATGTAATATCAACTTTTTGTTAGAAACCATGCCGATTCTGGCTAAGGCTTATGATGTTATTATCACAAGATAAAACTTTTAAATACAACAGTTAACGGTTTTACACGTATTAATCAACCGATTAAAAGTGTTAATTAAATGTGTTCTATCGCGTAAACTACAGACATTAGACAAATCTAATACTAAAATAGTTAATTTTAATAAATAAAGTCTATTTGAAATATTTCAAAGAGAGCCTATTATTCCCACTCGCTGGCCCGTAAGTGATTGAAAACGTAGACCAGCCCAAACGCCCGAGGCAAACATCTTTTAAGAATTAGGACATGGAAGTTTAATGGTTGATAAAATTTTATGAACAGATAATTACTGAAGTGAAAAATTCGAATACTAAACTTTTAAATATTGAAATTGCTTGCGCGTGACCACGGCTGCTGCAAAGCATCCGAAACGTCGGGCCGAAGTTAAAAATCAATTTCAAATAAGTTTAACTAATATATCGCGTTTTAAACCGTTAAAGTGTTTTATTTAAATGTGTACTACTCGCGTAAACTATAGACAGTATTTAATATTCCTATCTGTCTGTATGTCTAATCATTTCATCATTCAATTAATCAATTTAAATATCTTCTAAAAAGTGTATATTTTCAACCATTAATTTTTGTTCCAGAATACCTTGGCAATCCTGGATAAACTCGACATTGATAGTGAAAAGCCTTCTGAGGAAGAAATCGCGCGACTCTTCGGCTATGAAGAGGCATACCTCTCTGGGGATCTTGGACCCTGGCAGCGGATCAAGCCCAAGGTCTGGGCTCTGTTCGACGAGCCATCTAGCTCACCATCAGCAAAGGTAAGCTACTTTAATATTAATAACCATGTCTGTAGTTTACGCGACTAGTACACATTTAAATAAAACACTTTAACGTCTCAAAACGCGATATATATTAGTTAAACTTATTTGAAATATATTTTAATCAATCAATCAAGCATCGAGTTGTAGATAAAATAATTTTCTAATAAGTTAGTGTTTTATTTAAACTAATAACCATGTGATAATGTACTTGAGGACTTGTTGAATGCGGATTTGTTCTGTGTGAATTTATAGATTTTCTGATATATCTTGAGCCAAAAAAGCCTACCTTTACGCTTAAGCTAATAAATCAAAGTGAACTCCGGATTGGAAGCTGATTCAACAAATCAGAGGCGTCGGGACGAACATAAATTACTAAGCCGATTTCTGTCTGCTGAATATTTAGATTTATATTTCTGTGCAAAATCCATTGTTGTGTTTCGATATGAAGTACGAGAGCATCCGCAGTGTTATCCGCATGACAATATTCAAAAATTACTTGTGAAATATACATTGCATCTTTATTTTTCACGTATTGAAAACTTTAATATTTTTCACTCGATGGCATATGAATTAAAAATCGATGATAGATTTAAAAAAATTACGACACGGGCAGTACTGGAACCGGCATCTACAGCGATACGTGCTGTTGCTCTAACCAATTGAGCTCCATGTCCTGCAATCGTCGAATTTTTCACGGAACGGAAAATTGATCCAGGCATCTAAAAATTATTTAAAAACGGAGATGTATGTGCGGCTACATATTTACCTACTTAGACTAAATGCTTAGATAACATTTGCACATAAACAAACCGTTAAGTCAAGCAAATCATATTTCGTGCTGACTTATATACTTAATAAATAATGACATGAGACAACAAAATTACCCCCAAACTGGAAGATAAAAGCCAATATTTCTAACAAGTGTAACTAAATTACACCGAAGAGAAACATACTTAGTAATAAATAAAGTTAAGTAACGTAATCTGATTTACTGGACAAATAGCTGCGTGGAATTTTATTTTCAGACAAGAAAATAAGGGAAGCTTTGAGTTGCATATATGTTTTTATCACGCAACTGTGCTTCATGATTTTAAACAAATTTTTGTTTAATATCGACGGTTTGAAACCTATCACAATTGGTGAAGCGCTAATGTTAAATTCACTGGGCCTTGAAAAGTAAATTTTTAAACTGAGACTTATTTCGTGCTGTTGTACTACCAATCAAACTACTGTGCCCTGCACGTCAGTTTACTTCAGCTCATTGAATTTACATATTATGTTCATTGTAAATGTAAATTTACACATGCACATGATGACATTATAAATATTAAAAATTGATTATAAATGAAAAAAAATATGACACGATCACATGATCTACAGAGTGAATGGCGGTTCAAGTCTTGGCAGTGTCGTATTTTTTTTTCAATTTATAATCGATTTTTAATTAATAAAGTATCATGACTGTAGTTTATGCGACAAGTACACATTAAATAAAACACTTTAACGATTTAAAACCCACGTCTCCCCGTGGCCACGGCTGCAGGAAAATATCCGAAACGTCGGGTCGTAGTTAATTTTCAAATAAGTTTAACTAATATATATCACGTTTTGAACCGTTAAAGTGGTTTATTTAAAAAAGTCGTGTTCTATAAAAACTTTTCCAAGCGACACTAATCGCTTCTCGTTCCGCTACCCGCTCTGCTTATGCCTTGTTAATCTTTTATCGAGTCCTATTTCAATAAGGACTTGCAAGGCAGCCTTTCAGACTGAAAACTCATTACAGCAAGCGCTGTTTATTACAAATCTCTAGTGACTTATTTCTGTCATTTTGTACGGGGAACTAATATACCTACGTTAGGTGTATATTGAGATATTACTTTTAATATATTATATTGAAGGTTAGAAGTAAATTGGCCTGTTATTTTAAAGAATTTTATGTTTTTAGCTTATTAATGAAAAAATAAACGGCTTTAAACACGAAATTAAACGTGTAAAATTATAATTACGGATAAATCTCAAAACTTTAATTTAATTGTTAAATTCTACTTTCTAGTAACTCTTGAGGACTTGGTGTTTACAAGTAGAGTTGATATTATGGTACCCAAAATTACTATACTATACAAAGTCGCCTCCACAGGTAGTTTTAAATAAGTATTAAGACCTAGTAGTGCACTACAGTTTATTGCATATTTACAAACAGCGTTTATGTTTTCAGCACCTGCTCAAATAATTAATGAAAAATCTCTATCAACGAGAGATTCAAAGAGCCCTTGATTAAGTGTTAGCAGTGTTGAGCTCGGCTCAATTCGCAGAAGAGCCTGCAGATAAAATCTGAGTGTCGGCTTACAAAAGATTGAGCGTCTTTGTTTAAGTCCTGAGGGCTGTAGCTCTCTATAAGTGGAGTGGATCTTGTGGATTGCTCTTAACTTTATTGATTATATTGCTTTTTATTTAATAACTTATGTCCTTATAACACTTAGATATGTATGTATATAGCATAGTAGCCCATGACGGACGGAGATTTAATGGTAGCAATGTCTGGCTTATAATCAACTGGTCGTAGATTCGATCTCCATCGGATTTTCCATTTTCTAAAACGTGTTGGACTTTGTCTGGACATCTAAATAGGTGGTAGGAATATAGAAACTCCGTCCGGTTCACGACAAACTGTCCACAGATGAAAAAGCCGCCAAGTTTAATTGCATTTTGGTTTCAGCCTGAAGATTCCGAATATTCAAAAGCCAAAATAGTCTATCACCGCATCTTGTTGAGATGTTGTTTGGCTAGAGCATCCTGGCTAAGGTAACCTACCACCAACTGATCCCAAATCAAATTACGTTAAATTATAAATTGAAAATTAGAAACATGTTGAATATTTATTTATTGGTCTCATGTGCAATTTTATTTGAATAAATTCTCAATAAATTTGTATATGCACTATACATTATGTAGTATTTCTATACGGCACGTTAGTTCGACGATACATTTCAGTGAGCGAAGCTTGTTTGTGATCGGTTGCTCAAACGAATGCACTACCATATTACTCACTATCCAATGGAACTTTTCAATAGAGAGTTTAGCTCTTCAGTTCGATTGCTCGAGGTCTGGTATAAGTGCTATTATGTCAGGAGTTCGATTCCGTGGATTTTAAATGCGTTCCATTGTAATCGTATACTACCTCACCAAGTTAAGAACATGACTGAAAAACTATTTACTGCCCAATTAAACTAATACATACTGAAAAAAACTGATAAAAAAAAGAATAAAACAAAATATGTATATTGCTTTTAATTATTTTACATCTCAAATTGACATAATTTTTGCAGAGAACATAATTTTAAATGGGATAAGAGAATATAAGCATTTTAATAAAACACTTTTAACGGTTTAAACATGAAAGATATTGCTTAACTATATCACAAATTAAATGAACTATGGCCCGACGTTTCGGATTCTGTGCAGCAGCCGTGGGAGACTGATGATGGAGAGCCCATTTTTCATATTATAAACTGTTAAAAGTGTGTTGCGCGAGTGGTGCAAGTATCAATAAGTTGAAAAAAAACGTGTAGTGAACGCTGTGGATGTCGGTTCCACTCTTGCCCGTGTCGTAAATTTATTCAATTTAAAATTGATTTTTAATTTATAAAACTGTCTTATTTAAGTGTCTACTACTACAACTCGTCTTGGCACAGTGTCAAAAGAATGTCTTTTCCATGTCGCGCAGCTAACGAGAAGGATAAAAACACGCAACCCCTTAGGAAGAGGACTTCAAAAAATTCTAAACCCTTCTCTTAGAAGCGTGGATGAATCGACAGTTTCTGTGAAACGATACTAAGTACAACATTTCGTTGTAAAGGATGCCTGTATTGTCCTGAAAGCGAAAGTATACTTGAGATAATTCTTTAAAACGTATCACTTTAAGTTTAATAATAGTTAACATACTGTCTTTGTTCACGCGAGTAGTACATAATATTAAAAAACTCTCTAACGGTTTAAAACGCGATATTTATTAATTAAACTTATTTGGAAATTATTTTGACAACGGCCCGACGTTTCAGATGCTTTTCGTCGGGCCGTTGTTAAAAAAAAAAGTTTAAATAAGTTATAGTGGTTTATTTAAATATTAAACATTACTTAACTAGACGTGATACTTTTAACGATACACATGAATATAAGTACAGTAATTTTTTGCTGTACATATAAATACAATCGGAATTTATTACTACAAATATCTTTCACTGTCTTAACAACTACGGGAAGTTTAAGCCTAGACAAAAAAATATCTTTCCCCTTCGTATGGCTTAGGGAGTTTGGTCAGACTAATTTCTTTCTTCGTTTTTCCTAATTGTTATTTGTAGGCAAGTAGTAAGAATTCAACTTTAGTATCCAGTCTAATTAAAACTGTTAGATTTATCCTTAATTTGAACCTTGACCCTTCTGCGGTTTAAAAAAGTAAGATAATGGAAATTGGAAAATCTAATGTTGGACTCGGACCGAACCTAATGCTCATCACATTTTATACGCCATATTTAACTTTGTATTGTTGTTTCTTTAAATACAAATTTGTAAACAATTTTTCTTTATGAAGAGGCCATACTTTTCTAAAAAAAGCTCGTTCGGCGGAGTCACCGTTACTTTTATAAGCCGTTGTCAAGAGTCACCGTTACTTTTATAAGCCGTTGTCAAGAGTCACCTAAAAGTGATCAATCATCGGAAAGCCAACATTGTATTCGGTTGATAAATAAAAGGAAATCCCCTCTGGTTATATAACAAACGAAATACGTAGATCTATGAAAAACTAGCTGTGTCAGCGACTTCGTCCGCGTAGTGCAGTTACTTTGGGTATTACTTTTTTTTTTTACAAATCTCCTCTTAAGATTTATTTAATAATTACTTGACTTAAAGGTTTAAGTCAAGTAATTATTAAAAGATATACATACAGTGTCGCGGTAACTTTTTAAGATCATTTAAAGAGCATTCTTTCATACATATTTTTTGGGTGTTTTGAACTGTTTTCGCAACGTACGCAAACCCACGAGAATCAGAAAATCACAGAGATTAATTTTCCGCTGTTTTTTCGTTCATATTAGTCACAACGCGATGTTTTATAGTTATGTTATATAGATGTTTTATACCTTTCCTCGATAAATAACTCTACCCATGCTCGAATTTTTCAATTTGAACTAGTAGTTCCTGATATTAGCGCGATCAAACAAACAAACTCTTCAGCTTTATATGTTAGTATAAATAAGTATATATATAAAAAAAAAACAATATTAAACATATCGCTATGAGTAAAAATCATCAATAAAAAAAATGACGGATTTCAATACTTTATAGGATGAATATCTTTTTCACTATTTTTTTATAATATATCTACTGACTGTTTGTAAAATTTTACATTAAATTTAAATAAAACACTTTAACGCTTTAAAACGCGATATATTTTAGTCAAACTTGTTTGAGAATTATTTTAACTACGGCCCGACGTTTCGGATACTTTGCAGCATTATTTAAATGCGTCCTACTCGCGTAAACCACAGACAGTGTTCAAATTTTACATTCCTCATTCGTTGCGTTTCTTTCCTGTATTTTGTCTTGCAAACCAAATAAGATATGATAGTTTGTGTTTATGGCTATAAATATGAAGGTTAGAGGATCCTTTGGTAATATACAACCTTTTTTGGTGTCAGCGATTTATAAATTACGAGAACGCATTTTAATATGTTTTAAGATGTTACCCACTTTTTACCCCCCATTAGTACCAGTGGGCTTCGTTATTTCTGTATTTTGCAAAGTTCCAAAGAATTTCTTTCAACAACAAGATAATATTTGTAAGATTCAACTACTTTTATGTGTTAAAACATCTGTGTACAAAGCTAAGGTTGCTAGTATATAAAAACAAAATACTGTCTGTTGGTTACGCTATTAGTAGGTACACATTGACATAAAACACTTTAACGAAAATTTAAAAAGCCAAATATATTAGTTAAATTTATTTGAAAGTAATTTTAACTACGGCTCGGCGTTTCAGATGCTTGACTGCCATGGACACTGGAAGACACTTGACCACGTAATCGTATTTTATTTCAACATAAAAATATTACGCCCTTAAATAGCGCTGTGAACACCTTTCAAAGTATTTTATTTAAATGTGCACTACTTGCGTAGACTACAGACAATATATTATTAATAAAACATTCCTTAATCTCCTTTTAAATTTACTCAACCGTGAAGCGAATACATGTACGTAAACATTTAGTTAATAATGTAACCGACAAGTTAGTCTAAGCGTGTGGAAGGTTTTAGAGCGGTTTATATTTGCGCATAAATATTATGTTTAGTGATGAGTAACCGCGGGGCGTGATTGGCCCAAGTTAAAGGGAGGAGCGATTTGGTTAAATTTTAATGTTAGGTTAAAATTTCGTATGGTATTTTTTTTGTGGTAGGGAAGCAAACGATACGTCGACAGCGTATCTTGGTTATGTCATAGGGCTCAGGTATATCACATTCCATTAAGAGATGTACTGAAATAATTTTGTCAACATACTCATTAATAAAGTTATAAAACTGTACATTATATACTAATATTTAAGTTTAGAAGCTTCAAGCGCTATATTATCGCACTCTAGTGTTACGTGTAAAGTAAAATCTATAATACCTTGAATCCCGAAATTTAACGCACAAAATGCTATTAACAGTATTATAAAATAATATTAGGTCATAATATAAGATATTTTTTCTTCGCCTCGTACATGGCTGTAGAAATTTGGAAACAGCTGTGATCTGACATAACCGATACAGCGACGTCTAGTTTATAGACATCACGAGGGGGCTGTGTTATCCCCTCTATGTAGATAACTCATTCGTACACGACTGAGTTACAGCACTATTACCAACGTTTTAGATTCGTCGAGGAAGATGAATAAATGTTACAAAGCCGGGAACTGGTCCTCTTATTTTCCATAAAAACAAAATCCGGAACATCCGGAATCAAAAATTTCTTCGATCCTGTAAATGTATTGTGTATTATGTTTCCATTAAAAATATTATAACCACAATTAAAGTAGAAACAAAGTAAACTTAAACTTTAGAAAAGACATATTGTTTTGCCTCGTTACGTATAAAAGTCCGTGAAGACCAGGTTACTACTTTGCATTATAAAAAATGTAACTATATTGCATATTGTACTACTTAATATTTGTAATACTAACTAAATTTTAAAACTATAGTAACTAACTTATAATAAGCAACTTATTTCTATCGTCATTAATCAAACCGTATGGGGGAGGAAAGCCACCGTTAGTACCTATATAAACTGAGCTCGGTTGCTATAGAAGAAAAATGTGAACAAATTTTTCGTTTATTCACACTCTGTTGATCTGGGTTGTAGACGATAATCCTTCGTATGTAGGGCACGGTTGGCTTATTATTGATTAAAGTGAGGGTCCAAAATCTTTGGCAGTGCATATTCCAAATATTGATTATAACATATCTCTGAGAGAGCCCTGTTGCCCTAATGCACCAATTCGGGGGCTGGAGATTTTGATTGTGAAGCAAAATATATTGGTGTTTGAAAGTGGAGAAACTGGTTTTTCCTAGAATAAGCCAAGTAAACATAGTAAAGAAGCTTGAATGCTTAGGACGCAATGGGCGGAAATAGTTAAAGATGTCTTGTGATTCATGATGACATTTTGAGAATATTGTTTTTCTTTCCGTGTTAACTATGTCTACAGACTCACTTAATCTCTTTGCTCGTAAATTTCTTTTTTTTTTATTTATCACTACAATACATTACCAAATTCATATTGAATAGAGCTTTTATTCAGATAGGATCCTCTTATCGGAGGTTTTGTTAAAAGACAATAACTGAACGAACAAAGCCTGAATAATCTTAGCGGAGCGGTATGAAAAATTTAAAGCGACGTTTGTTTGGTGCAAGTCTGGGAAGAATAAGCATTAGTCTTACTCAAAGTACTCTCACTTTAAATACTGTCTATAGTTTACGCGAATACACATTTAAATAAAACACTTTAACGGTTTATTACTTTGACGTCAGAGACATCCTCCATCTTTAGTCTCCCAGTGACCACGGCCGCTGCAAAGCATCCGAAACGTCGTCTCGAAGTTAAAAATCATTTTCAAATAAATGTAACTAATATATCGCGATTTAAACCGTTTAAGTGTTTTATTTAAATACTCTCACTTTAATACTGTTCCACTGTGTTTTAATTTATATTTTAGTTATAGTTACAGCTGTGTTTAAAAACTTTTTATAGAATGGACTTAACACATTTTGTTCATGTTCATAAAAAATAATATAATAATAAAAAACGCTCAAAAGAGTTCCCACTTACTTATAAAACGCTTCTTTAAATTAAGTACATTTAACTTCAAATAAATAACTAACTTTTAAGACGATAAGCGAAATTGTTTACGTCCGGTCAAAATAAATAAAGATGAACGCATTATATATACGTTTAAATCAAATGTTGATTTAGGCATTTAAAGAGATTAAATAAACTCTTCTAATAGACAGCCAACTACTTTCACATATAATTTAAAAATCGAAAATAAATTGAAAAAATTATCGACTCGGGCAGGACTTGAAACGGCATCGTCAGCTTTCCGTGCCGTTGCTCTACCAATTGAGCTACCGAGTCCTACACCTCATCGTCAATGTTTTTTCAACTTATTGATACATTCACCTCTCGCGCAATGTAATTTCAACCTTAACAAGCGAACCTTAACGAGTCGAACATTTTTTCAATTTATTTTCGATTCTTAAATTATATAGTGCCTTCATGTGTAATAACATTCAAATACTTTTCACATTTCATGTGAAAATCGCTAGGAATTCGTGTCTTGTGGCACGCAAGAAGAAAAATGTTAAACGTCATGAAAACAATACAACGATTGATGACGCACTTCCGTCCCGAGGAAGGCAATTTTTCTATAAGCGAACCTACATTTAATTTAAAAATGTTTCGCATAAAATACATATCTTCTATTTTGTATTTGTGTCTTTCTTTGCACAGTTGTGCTGTAGCTTTGCTAAAGAAGCTATCCGGTCCCATACGTCATGATCGAAGTTCTTCCAATCCATTTATACATGCATCTCTCGCCCGATGTGACTATAACGAAATTTTTCAATCGGATATATAATAATATTTAAAATTTATATACCCTATCATGTGAAAAATATTTTTTTAGGTTATACGAGTTTATGATAACGTTTAAAATTCTACTTTTCTTTATCGAGACTTCAAAATTCTTAAGCTTTTATAAGTGAGATAGTTTCATAGGTTTATTTCTAAAGAACCCTTGACTTCATTATGGATTCATTATTCAGCATGCAGTTCACTTGGTGGAAGGTGAAGTACCGCAGCCATATAACATACCGGCAAGATGCGTGGTCGACCTATTTTGGCTTTTGATATACGGAAATCCACAGACTGAAGCAGAATTGCGATTAAGTTTCAGCTCTATTCCATCTGTGTTCGGTAGTTTGTGACCCGGACGAAATTTTGATATTCCTTCCACTCTTTTAAATAAAACACTTTAACGGTTTAAAACGCGATATATTAGTTAAACTTATTTGAAAATGATTTTTAACTTCGGCTCGACGTTTAACTAATATATCGCGTTTTAAACCGTTAAAGTGTTTTATTTAAATGTGTACTACTCGCGTAAACTATAGACAGTATTCCTTCCACTCGTTCAATATCTAGATTTAGAGATAAAGTTCAACATGTTTTAGGAAAATTATGAAGTGACAAGCATGTTCGACCCGTTGATTATTATTACCATGCATTGCGACTATTAGATAAACGACTCCATCCAAATTGATATTGTATAATTATCTTTTTCAGGTGATATCGGCTGTTTCCGTCTTCTTCATCTGCGTGTCAGTTCTCTGCTTCTGCCTGAAGACGCACCCAGATCTTCGAGTGCCGGAAACTTACGACATTGTAAATTTCACGATAAACGATACAGCCTTTGCTGCGCTGTGGGAGGACAATGATCAGCCGCACGTCGCCTTCTTCTATATAGAACTTATTTGCAACGTGTGGTTTACTATTGAACTGCTTGTGAGATCTGTGGTAAGTTCGTATTTTAAGTAGTGTGATATCAAATTTCACGTGGACATTTATCACTCGTTACACTATTTATAAAACACCAGAACGGTTCAAAACGCGCAATATATTCCCTTCCCTTTTAACTCGCCCAGTTTTACTTAATACCAACTACTACGAAACCAACCAACTACGCGTTGTAGTTTTTACTCTAATGTTAGAGACCTCCATCTTTGGTCTCTCTGTGACCACGGCTGCTGCACCAAGCTAAGACTGTATGTAATAGTTACATTTATGTCATAACGACATATATCATCGTAATTATTATTCACTTATTCAGAATTTTCATCATAAAGTACGTATTGATTTTGTACTTTACAGAGCGCAAAACGTCAGATCGGAGTTACAAAATAATATACCTTGCCTTTTAAACCTTTAAACCAAATTGTAATAAAAAATAATAGAAAAAAGGTTTGAGACTTAAAACACCAAAACCAGATTCATTGTCGACCTATGTTATGGTTATTATATATAAAAAAGTATAGATTACTTAATTAATTGACATAACACAGTTATTACTACTACTTTTTTATGATAGAAGACAATAGATAATATGATGCTATGTGAAACCCCAGCCATATAACATCTTATCCTATTTTAACTTTGGGTTTTCGGAAATCCATAGACTGGAAACGAAACCTGATTAAAATTGACGGCTTATCTGTTGACGAAATTCCTACCACCCACTTCATATCCAGATTGCCAGACGATCTCCAATATATTTAAGATAAATTATAAAATATATAGCAAATAATTAATTACTAACTATTAGTGACCCACCCAGGTTAACAATAGTATCATTAAACAGGCGTTTCCTGAAATTAGGTTTGTATGAATCGAGTGGTAGCTTTGAGCCACTGGGTAAACCCGTTTCGTATTTGTCGGGTCCGAGAGTCAACAACGTGATCACAATGCTAACACGCTTTCAATAAACACGTGATTCACTTAAAATGAGGATCTTTCTGGATCTATCCCCTGACCCCACTTGTGGGTGACACCTTTTTGATCCCTTTTATTCAATATATTTGTTCGAGTGACAATTTTTCGTAAATCTGATTATTTTTTAAAAGTAGTAATGAGTTCTTAAAAAGATTAAAAACATAACAGAAGCTAGCGGTGGGTCTTTAAGTGAAGTTAAAAATCATTTTCAAATAAATTTAACTAATACATCACGTTTTAAACCGTTAAAGTCTTTTATTTAAATGTGTACTACTCGCGTAAACTATAGACAGTATTTTATATTCATCATATTTAATACTGTATCGTAATCGTAAAGCTAAGGTTGGTTTAATAAATAAAATTCCACGTTAAATTAAAGCATTTTATTTGAATTACTGAATACACGAAAAGCATACACGATTTCTAAAAAAATTCCGCTCAAAAACCCAATGAAAACGTTCATTAATAAAAGTGTTTTCCGGTCGATCGGCGATTGAATTTCGAGAAATAAAAATATTGGTTTCGAAATGAAAGCCTTCTCTGTTTATTGCTGGCCTTTGTGACACGCCCTTTGTCGGTTGTTTTTTGTTGAGAGCCCTCAAAAGTTGTAGTGGCTTTTATGCACTCAAATTCGTCTTTTGTTCCTTCAGAAACCAAAAATAGAAGAAACAACTCTGTTGCTAAATATTTTCTTGAACATTATACGCAACAATTATTCCTATGTAGCAGTTTTTTTTTATTTATTATATAACTACATAATGCACACCCATGTGGGGCATTTGTGAAGTGGCTCAACACCATCCGTGTTTGAGCTAGTTGTACCAATCCTACTGGAGGCGAGACCAGGGACACCAAACACACAATCTACTACGGTGCTTTCAAAATATTCCCGGGAACACGTTTGTATGACTCGATAATAGCTAAATTATACTTATAACGTCGATCAAATTTAAAATAAGAAGACTATTTACTATGGCTTAAGAAAAACGTCACTGTTGATCAGTGGCAATGGCCTCGCCTAGGTTTGCGATACGCGCTAGAAGTTTTAGATACAAAGAATACAACTAAGGAATAAGTCACCACTTTTAAAATTTATTTCTATAATTCCAAGTATTGTTTTGCTTTATGCGAGTATCATATATTTAAATAAAACACTTTTAACTCTTCAGTAATGGAGAAGCACGAAAAGAAGAACGGTTTAAAACGCAATATGTATAAGTTAACTTATTTCTAATTTATTTTAGTTAAATTCGTTTGCCCGACGTTTTGTATGCTTAAAGCAACTGTAGTCATAGGGGTCTGAAGATTGTAGGCGTTTCTAATGTCGTAGACAAATCTGCCAGATACGTGAAATAGTTCTCCAAATACCATACGACGAAAGAGATGGCGCTAGCGTAGCAGATTTGACTTTGTCATTAGGAACACCCTCCATTTTTAGTCTCCCGTGGCTACGGCTGATGCAAAGCATCAGAACGTCGGGCCATCATTTAAGTAAATAAAAGTAAGTTAACTGATATATTTCGCGTTTTAAACCCTCAGAGTGTTTCGTTAAGTTGAATATGACACACAGTCGACACGTTACTAAATTCTTACCATAGAATACAATGAATTATATTTTTCTGTTACTTTAGTTACAAATAAGGGAAACGTGGCTTTTAAATAATAATAGAAAAATCATAATTCGTCTAATTGAAGAATATTATTCAGTAATCACCTTGTTAACATCGGTCACCTCTATACATCCATCAAGTGGGCTGATGGCCAAGACTGAAGTGGTTTTCAAAGATTGGCCTTTTGAATTTTTACCAAAGACTTGGGTGATTGCCAATAGATCAGGTATGAATAAATTGATATACGGAAGCTCATCAATGTTACCAATTTGAGTCGAACCTCAAACCTTAAAACTGACGCCGTGCACAAACTAAATGGTTTAAAACATGAAATGTATTAGTTTAACTGTACTGCAAAACGTTAAAATGAGTTAACTAATAAATTCCGCGTTTCAAACCATTTAAAGTGATTCATTTAAATGTGTACTCATTTTTACACATTCAAATATGTATGTTTATAGTTTCATGTTTAAACAAAATGTACTACAATCTTTGATATTATTAATATAGTCCCCTTATGTTATATTTTAAAAGTGCTTCCCATATTCGTAACATCAAAACGTTCTCATTAATATTTTAAACGATCGTTGAAGTATATTGGAAACGCTTTAAAATATTTCTCTTCGTTGAATTTTAATATCCCAGTAAAGTATACGGGTAATTATTAACAGCGGCCGTTAGGTGCAATTAAAAATTAATTACTGAGCCACATTTTGAGATGTAAGGGTTAAAGGGTTTGTGGGTATTCCGCTCAAACAATCTCTGTTTAAATAGAATCGTAATTAATTAGTAATGCGCACTACTTTTTAGTATTGTGAAACATGCTGGACTTCGACTGGAAATCTGGTTAACTCAACTTATTAACTCAAATAGTGCTTTAAAACATTTATTTACACAAGAAATATGCTTAAGCGTAACACTGTACAGTACATAATATTATATGCTAGTGGGTACGAAATCACAATTATAATGGTTACGTATGTATAATACAATAAAAAAGTGTGGAGGATTGACAATAATACCAAATCACAGTACATACTAATATACTAAAGCTTTTCCCACTTTTGGTGACTGACCTAGGAATAAGAAAAGTTTGATTTATTTAAATTAAAGCACTTTTTATGAACAAAAATGTAATTGAAAAATCGAAAATAAATTGAACAAATTTTTGACTAGGACAGACTAAAAAAAAATTTTTGATTTTTAAATTATATAGTGCCATCATATGCAATAAACATGTAAAAATTTTTAAAGTTTTCAACAAAAATGTATTTAAAAAACAAGACATCTCGTTCTCCCTACGTCGGTCTTAGAGCGGACATATTATCTTGATCAGAACACGTTATATCATACATATTTAAACAAAAAAAAAATGAATATTTAAATTGAAGAACACATAATACGAAACTTACTGTCTCACCGGAATTTCCTTATTAAAAGATAAATTCATTCGACGACAGAAAAGCAACAAAGTTTAAATTAAGTAAATTCGTATTCCCCTCTCCATATTCTTGCGAGAATTTGTTAAAACAACACTTCGTAAACATATACTTGGCGCTTTGTTCGGTGCGTCGGTGAGTTTTCATTTATTTTTCACGGAAATTGCATTAAACATTACTTAATAATGTATTAACAAACTTAGTTTACATTTGTCTGTATAAGAAGAGTCATCATAAAAATGGTGTTAGATTTTTATTATGCACAAGTAAGATTATTAATATTTTAAATACAATTATTACTGTCGAAGTTATGAAAGCCATGTAAAGTACAAAGTTTCATATATAAAATTAATAAAAATTCTCATCATCTCGTAATTATGTATACATTTTTATTATTATTTGAGCTTAAAATTAATTTCAAAGAGCTTCAATATCTTTTCTGGAGTAGGACAGAAGCACGACGATCACTTGATGGTAGGTGAAACACCCCGATTATACAACATCTAAACTAGATGTGTCGATCTATTTTATCTTTGGATATTCGGAAATCCACAAAAAAAGTTTAAATAAAATTCGAATTTCATATATTTGAATAAAGAAGAAACAATCGATTCTTTATCTATGTACTATCGAATCAATATTGACTTAAATGGGGCAGAAATCCTACGAATAGGAATTATCCGAGAAATATTAACAGCCTTGACACATTTCAACTATTCATTGAATGCTTTTTAATTTGCGTGTGTACAATTAGAGGCATATTCATCTAGATTTCAAAAGCCACAATGGCGGTATATGAATAATTTATGCTTCTCAACAATTTATAGAAGTTATATTTGACTCTCGGTTTATTCAAACCGCATAGTTTTAGAATGGCTGATATTTCAGTTTGTGAAAAATATTTTTATGTACACTTGTGCGTGTAGAGACTAGACTAAAATATACGTTTTTATCACTATTTTCATCCAGTAAATATACC